CGATATATAATTTTTTTTTTTTTACAGGTTTATTTTTAATAAAAAAATCATTAAAATGTTTATTTCAATAAAAAATTTTAATGATTTTGGCTTGTTAGAATTGTATTATTAAGATGAACATTTTGGTGGGTTTATTAAAAAAAAATAACAAATTATATCAAAAATGTGTTTATAAGTATAATTACTTTATAATACTTTTTTTAATTTACTATATATAATAAATGTTTTTTTTGTAATATTTGTATAGCAGTTTTTAAAAAAGAAATAAACTGATATTCACTTAATACAATAAAAAGAGTGTTGTTAAAGCAACAATATTTATTAATATTATTAAATATAAATACAGTAGGCTGTTTTGACTACTGTATTAAATTATTGTATAAATAGCTAAGGCAAGTTTGTGTGGGTAAAAATAATACTTGAAAAAGAAAAAGGCTTTTTTTGTTGTTCCTAAACTTCTTTTTTTTCTTTAATCTTGCTACTGGCGTTAGAAGCTTAGAATGCTACGTAAATTGTTGCAATTGTATTAACAGTATCCAAAATTTTAGCTTTGTTATGTTTACTTATATTTTGGATTTATAAGAATGAGTTTTTTTCGTATAATTTTTTTGCTTCTTATTGTATATATTAGAACCTATAATTATAACTTATAAATTTAAGCTTTAAAATTAAATAAAACTTAACTATCACTAGTTTAAATTCGGGTTAAAGTTAGACTCGAAACTCGACCTGAACAATTATGACCCGAGTAAATGGTCATTCCGAGAATTTTATAATTTTATATATGCATATGTTGTGGTGTGTTGTAGTATGTTGTGGTATAATGCTTGAGATATAAATGTTTAAATAGGAACTTTTCGAATTTTGCTTCGAAAAATTTCTCAACCTTACTCGTAATTCAGTTTTTTTATTTTCTACATCAGGAAACACCAGATCGCTAGAATTTATCCATTTTTAATTGACCCGGGTCAAGGCATTTTTTAATGTGACCGTTTGGGAAACTGACCCGAGTAATAGCTCTAGAGTTAATGCAACACATTTACTAATTTTATTTCTACTTTCCGTTTCTGCGAGGCAATGCCTAGTAATACCTAATCTTGCATTTAATCATTAGGATTCGATCTTTCACAGTTTTTTGATCTAAAATCGACTCAAAAAATCCGAGCTGAGTTAACTCAAACACCAAACTTTTACATCCCTCCGGCGACCGGTTCTTGTGTCGACTAAAAATTGACTGTAAGGGATAGAGGCACAACATATGCATTTGCGTTAAGAATCCCGGAGATAAAAGTTATTTCTTTTTCGAGCTTTTAATACTTGGAATGAACTTAAAATAGATATAATTCTCTTCTACATGTATATCTTGAAAGTGACACCAACAATTACAAGTCTTCAAGGAACAGGCTAAATGAATATTTTCAGACACTAGATTAACAATTTTAAATTTAATTCGTTTTATTAGTCCTGGTAGATGCATAATGTATTGCCACCTTTATCTACTCCTTTGAAGTCCCTTGAACACAGACCGGACCAGAATGTAAAATCCTATTTGTAATCCTTCGAACAAATTTTTAAAAAATTTCCGGTTTTTGCACATATCCATACGTAGTCAAATGATGTCCACGTGATCAAATACCAGAGTTTCCTACGAGCCACTGTGGCTTACCGGTTAAAACATTATAATGCAGTAATGTTTTAAAGTATTAAAATTAAAATAAAAGATTTTTTATTTATATATATGTATAATAAAATACGATATATTTGATTAAAAATCCATAAATAATTTATTTACATAAACATAACATAAGAATTGCGTAAGTTTTTACATAAGATTCTATAGGTGATACAAACAAAAACAAAACAAACTTTATATTTAAAAATATTAACATTTTAGTTTTATACGTATTACTTTCGAAAGCATATTATATTAAATTATTTTACATTCCTAATCCAATTCGCTACGTAAAAGTGCATAAATGAATCATTAATTAAATGGCGCAATAAATTTCTATAAAGGATTACAATACATCGAGTAAAAAAAAAAACCGAAAAAAATACCACTATTAATTAATAATATTTTACTACAAAGTGTCATCTGAATTTGAACTATTCCTATCAGAATTTGTTATAATAGCCGGAGAATATAATTCAGCTAAATTATCAATTACGTTACCATTAGTTTCTGAGGAATTTGCAGTTATTTGTGATACGTCCGGCATATTGTGTTGAGTATTTACAAATCCATATATTTCATCATTAATGAAAAATGGTGAATTATTCCATTGAGCAGATGAATTAGGCGTTACATTTGGCTGAGGTTGATGAAATTGTAACGAGGTTTGATCTTGGTAATCAGAAGACATGATGTACATATTTGGATTTGTTTGTTGCTTATGAGTTGGGGAAGCATGTTGTTGGAGATAATGTGTTGGAGATGATGAAGATGTTGAAGTTAGATTTAATTTATCAGATAGCGATGATTGTGAGGGCGATCTATTAATTTGATATTCAGTTTGCTCGGGTGACGAAGAATATTTAACCTTTAAATCATCATCTGAATTGTTGGGTAACTTCTCACTAACTGATGACAGAGAAAATTTTGATGAACTAGAATTTCTACAAAAGTTCATGCTTCCATAATTATTTTCAAAATTATTCCGAGATTCCATCATTTGCATAACAACAGGAAATGGAATCACA